ACGACCGACGCCACCTCAAGACGACATGGGGGGCAGTGCCGTGCACCTTGTCAGGATAACGTGACTTGGCAAAGGCGGCCGTGAGGGCCATCTTCTTCGCCCACCTCTTGCATAACATGTTGCCGGCAGCAAGCTTCTGAAGCTTACCCATGCGCTTAACCGTGGCTTGCCTGCGTGCTGCCTGCTTCGGCCTGGGCTCCCCGACTCTACCTCGGTCTATGCCTAGGTCAGCACTGACTAGTTTGACCTGGATGTCTATCTGGTGTCCCTTGAAAAACTGCTGCAACTGCTTGGCGACGCTGGTGCTCGAGCAGATGATGCACGACTTACTGGCCATGGAAAGGTGAGCCTGCTCGAGACAACGGACAAGTTTCAGCCCCGCACTTGAGAGCTGCCTGAAAACTAACTCACTTGTGCCGTGCATGCATTGCACAATATCATCCACCCAAGTGTGCAGACTCGGCTCCGCAGGAGCCCCAGTGACTAGTTGCGCGGAAACATGGTGCAGGGCAACTCTTCCTAAGAGTCGACGCCCCGTGACCACCTGGATAAAGTACAGCTCTGGTCTACAGGGGGCGAGTAGCCCCCCCCCCCCCCCCACCCCACCTCGAAGAAATCTGACCGCCATATGCATCTGCAACTCCAGAGCAAGATAGCAAGGCGGGAAATCTAGATCCAGCGCCTTCTCTAAGATGAGGTCCCATCGGAGGCTATCGTAGAACCCTTTCACATCCCAGAGCCGACTACCACTGTGAAGGTCGGGGAAGCTTGAATTGGCAGCTTCCTCATCTCGAAACAGGCGCAGCAACGCAGCTTGTAGGGCCGAGGAGCCCGCCAGCGCCGTGTCCCAAGTGCCAGCAGTGCCCCTCGCCCAGGCAGCTCTGTCATCGTTCCCCAACCTGCCCCAGAATCTCACCAGCCAGGCAAGCAGGCCAATCGCACGATCCGCTTCCAAGCCCTTGACCTGGAGGGTGACAAGAATGACCAAGACTTGCCATGGCCAACAGCACTCTCTTTCCACCTGGAAGAGAAGCCCTGCCAGATCCTGCAGGCCCGCCCTAGGCAGCCAGACGAAGTCCTTCTTCGTCATCTGGTCTACCCCTGGCGCGCGGTCTGGCAGGGCCGAGATGAGCCTGGAAATCTGCTCCACAGTGATCGGCCTGGGCGCGAGCGCCTTAGCCTTCGACTGGGCGTTCCTCCAAAGTTCGAAAACACGCTTGAATGTGGAGGGATCTCCCTTCCACTTTAGGCTCCACACTCTGGCCCTGGCCTCCATGCGTGCACAAGAATCAAGAGCTGGCTCACCCCAATCCCTCATTTCGCCTACAAAAATTGCTGTATCTTTGAGCCCGTTGCACAGCCCTCGTCCACCTAGCTGGTCTTGCTGCAGGGCCCACTGGTGGAAGTTGCCGAGACTGGCATGGAGGGCTGACCTCTGGGCTCTGACCGAATTGGAGTAGGCCTGCCTACTGAGGTCCCCGATGGAGTCATCCGTGAGCTCCCAAATCACCCTGAGACTTCGGCACCACTTGGCGCGCACAGGAGGAGGGAGAAGCACCAGAGGAGAGACGGGCACAGAGACAGACAAGTCTCTCAAGCGCTCGCCTAACCTACTGGCCTTAGTAGAGCCCCTCTGATCAAGGAGGCCCACAAGGTCCTTCAACAGGAAATCCACCGTGGGCCACCAGTGCGCCACGGGGTCCCTAGACGAAACAAAGTGGGCTCCTTGGGCCTCGGGTCTCCGAGTGAGCTCTCCAAGGGACCTCTATCTCGGTAGTTATTTTGATCGCTCGGATGCATCTCCAACATCGCGCCCCCTCCCCCCCCCAAAAAAAAAAAAAAAACAAAAAAAAAACTCCACCGTCCACTCAGCGAAAGACCTGCCGACAGAAAACGACGCCTCGGGATCCGACCGAAACGCCTTAGAATATACTATGTACCTCGGCGGCGCGCCCTGTGACCGACTGGCCGACAGAGCGTGCCAGAGCCTAGCCTGGGCTTCTGGCGCCGCCTCGAGGAGCAGCTGCGACGCGCTCTCTCCCTGCGCTGCTGGAGGGGCGGGGTCTGCAGGGCCTCCTGCACCCGTCGCCGCACCTCCAGGGGGGCGGGGTCTGCTGGTCCACCAGCACCCATCGCCGCGCCCCCTGCGCCCTCGGCGCCACTCTGGCCGAACTGGCCGTCGTCCTCGCCAGTCGAGTCGCGCCATCCTCCTGCTGCGGGCCCCCCTCAGACTCCAGGCCCCGATCCTGCGCCCCCAAGTACTGCAAGGGAGGCGGCATCTTGAACCTGATCTGCCGACGCGCTCTCAACGGAGGACGTGGTAGTTCTGGCTCTGGCTCAGCGGCGGCCTCATTAAGCTGGCGCAGCAGACGCTGGCGTGACCTCTTACTGGACGGTTCCGCTTGCTTCTTGGGCCTCGGTGGGTACTGAAATCTCTGCGGCATACTGAGTACCCATCTCTGAGCCTTCTCTAACTCAGCTGCAACTTCGCCAAGATGCCGAAATGCGACTTACCTGCTCCAAAGCACGCTTCATCATCAACCGTCATCGAGCAGACGAACCGAACCATCGAGCGTGACAGGACTGCGTAATCAATCATCCTCTTTTGGCCAGCCGCGCACGTGCATTCTGCACCCGAGGGGACACGAATCAACCCGTCCACCAGGGATGGCCAGCCTGACTTCTGCAGCTCGATCGGGGTTGCATTGAAGTCCCCAATGACCAGCCACGGCGTCTTGATAGACTGCAACAGCGTACCTAACTGAATCAGCTTTGACACGTTCATACCTGTGATGCCCACATCGGCTGTCAAGTAGATGCCGAAGACGGAAATAGACTGGCCACCAATCTTGAGCTGACATCCTACAACGTCTCTGAAATCAATCCCCGACATGGCGGTCTCTGGCTCCTGGATCTGACGGAGCCCCATCTGCATGTGTCTGTCGGTCGCTAGGTGACGCAAACTCTGAAACCGAAATCTCTTCCTGACTCCCATAGAGATCCCACCAGCCTTGGCCGTCGACTTCAGCTGGTAGGATGGAGCCACAACTGGTTGGTATCCTCTATGGCTCCAATCATGGAGCACCTCTGTACACATATCTGGAAGAACGTGCAACTCGGGCAGAATGACTATGTCGCACAGGCCCTCAGCAAGAAGGCATTTGGACGAGTGCCCCCAGCCCGAGAGGTTCCTCATATGCAGAGTGTGCGCGTCACCCGCACGATGACTCCCCCTCCGTCTTCTGCTCTCGCAGGTTGCGGACGAGGGCGTCAACCTCACCCTGCAAGCGGTCAGACGCGGCCTTGAGCGATTGCTCATCCCCAGAAGCTGGCGCGGCGCGAGGGGCGGGGTCTGCTGCCGATCCTCGGCCAGCGCCCGTCGCCGCTCCTCGCGCAGGCGCCTCAGGGGCTGCGTCGGCACCTCCACGGGGCGCGCTTGACGCTGCTCCCTGGCTCGCTGGTTCGGCCGCGACTTGAGCCTCACCCTGGTTGCCTTTCCTCTTCTTGCGGGCTCTCTCGAGGACTGCTGAGACCTTGGCCTTCTGATCCTGCAACTTCTCATTGGTTTGACCATACGTGTCTTGCACCGCTTTGCGCAACCAGACCTGGAGCTCACTCTTCGTCTTCTCCAAGATGTCATGGTCCGATTGCGCGAGGCCCAACCCGTCCAAGTCGACTCCCAGACTGATCTCCAGTTCCAGGTTGCCGTCGAGCACCTCCTGGATGTCCAGGACAGCACCACGTGGCACGGGCAGTTCCTCCGGTGGCAAGAACTCCTTAGCTTTCGCGATCTCCTCACGTTCAGCTTCCGTAACCTCTGTCGTGCAGGCACGAAGCTTCTCCGTGCACCGCTCCAACTCCTGCTTGGCTCTCTTCCACTGCTCCTTGGCCGCCTCCATGGCCTTGCATCCCCGCTGCAAGCGGGCCGCCGCCATCTGAAGGGCCTGCCCTGGCGGCCGTGGCTTGGACTCGGGGGGAGGACCTCGCAGGGTGGCCACCAAGGAGTCGACAGCACGCTTGGTGCCCTCCCCCCCGCCCAGTTTGGCCGCCAAGGCACAGAGCTGCTGCACAGCGTCACCATCAGCAGCACCCCCCTGACGGCCATGGCCAGGCCCTCGCGACTTCTGGAACTTTGCGCCACACTCACACGTCCAGTTCTTCGCTTTGAGCCTGTCCTGGAAGAGCCACCGACCACACGAGGAACATTCAACTTGGGCTCTGAACTGGCGTTTCCTCCAAGCGTTCGCTCCCCACGACGGCGGTGGTGGCACAAATCCAGGCAGTGGAGGATAGACGATCGGATTCCACCACTCTCCGTAGCGCGAGGCAGGCTGCTGCCTCCATGGCGGTCGCCGAGAGACATCTGGCGCCATCGACAACCGTCCGTGTTCGTGAAAACTCGATGCTGTGCCGCCTGGAGGCACACACAGCGGTGCGTTGAAACCCTTGGGAACTAGCCGCGGACTAGCGGTATCCACTCGTTTCCCAAGGAAACTCAAAACCTTGAGCCAAAATGGCTACGAAGAGAGCCCCGAGACGGCCCAAAAGGGCCCCGAGACGGCCCAAGAGAGCCCCAAGGAACCCCGAGACTGCCCCACGGAAGCCCAAGACAGCCCCAAGACGGCCCAAATGAGCTCCATAAAAGCTCCTCACTCCTCAAAAAAGAACGACGAAAGCGTGTGACGGCATCCCGTTTCCCCCAGAACGGTCGCCGTCCAGAATGCTGGATACGAGTTCACAAGGATAATGGCCGGGTTCCAAAAACGGTGGCGCTTGCACGGCTTCGGCTCTGGCTTCACATTGAGGATGGACGAACGCGACTCGCAAGTGCGAAAAATAAAAAGATCGGGGAGTACGGTGCCGGCCATCCCGAGCACGTAGGGAGTGGGGGAGTGAGAGGAAGGCGGAAGAGATGAGAGAAAAGGGAGGGAAGGAGGCGGGAGGAGGGAGGAAAAAAGAGCAAGGGAGGGAGAAGCGAGCCAGACTCTGCCCCGCCCTACCTTTCGCTGGATGTACTCCGATTGGGTGATCTGCAACACGTCCGGAGTACCATCTGCGCAGAGGGACGCCCTGCTCCTGGTCCTCCTCATCGACCACCATTACCACCATCACCATCATCATCGCCACAATCCTCACCACCATCACCAGCATCACCATCATCATGACAACCACCATAATCCTCATCGTCAGCATCACCAGCATCACCATGACCAGCATCATCACCATCAGCATCACCATCATCATCATCATCATCATCATCATCATCATCATCATCAGCAGCAGCAGCATCATCATAATAACCATTATCATCATCATCATCACCATCAGCATCATCAGCATCAGCATCATCACATCATCATCCTCAACATCACGATTGCCATCACCATCACCAGCACAACCACAACCACCAACACCAACATCATTACCATTACCACCACCATCACCATCGCCTTCACCAGCACCACCACAACCACCATCATCGCCATCATAACCATCATCACCACCACAATCATCAGTATCATCATCGGCATCATCATCATCATCATCGACAGTGCCAGCATCATCATCATCAGTATCATCATGATCATCATCATCATCATCATCAGCAGCATCAGCATCAGCATCTGCATTATCATCGTCATCATCATCATCATCATCATCATCATCATCAGCATCAGCATCAGCATCCTCATCATCAGCATCAGCGTCTACAGCATCAGCATCAGCATCAGCATCAGCATCAGCATCATCATCATCATCATCATCATCATCATCATCATCATCATCAGCAGCAGCATCATCATCATCATCAGCCGCGCTCGCGGACGCACGCGCCACGCAGCGGCTCCGCGGGAGCACCCCCTCAGACCCAGAAAAATCGCGAGAAGAGAACACGATGGGCGCCGAGGGCCCTGGCCGTGACGTTTCGCGTTGAGAACGGTCTTATCCCAGGGCGTCCCCTGAAATCCTCTCGTGGTGGAAAGATCAAAATTGCTAATGTTTTCTCACTTTCAACCTCCTGGGATCCGCGCTAACCCCAGGACCGTGAACAAACAACTCGGGACGGAAGGTTTTTGATAATTTTCAGCCTCTGGAGGCCCTCGCTGGGCCCCGAAACGGTAGTAAGAACAAGTCAGGATGAGACGCCCGCCCTGGGGAAGGGTTCCAGATCTCTTGGGAGCCACGTTGCGACGAAAAGACCACGGCGGAGGATGTCTGGGTCGGATCTATCGGTCATTGCGACGGCTGCGCTGCTTCTGGACCGCAGGCCCACCCACAATGCCAAGGACGTAAGCATAAGAAGACTCAGAGCCGCAAGGGGGGTCGCGTCGGGCAGCGCGCCCAGGTATAGCGACACAGACGTGGAACGCGAGGTTCCCGCAAACCCATGAGATCCGACGCTGGAGAAAAACTGCAACATCGCGATAAACCACGACCGCCGCCCTAGAACCCGTTTTATGCGGTACTGTTCGAGCCAGGTCGATATGTGATGGCCCTGGAGCCCAAAACTAGGCCAAAAACGCCCAGGCATTGGGTACGGTTCATCGTCGTCGTCCGTCGTCGTCGGCGTCGTCGTCGTTGTCGCCGTTGTCGTCGTCAGCTGTCGTCGTCGTCGCCGTCGTCGACGAAGTCGTCGTCGTCGTCGTCGTCGTCGTCGTCGTCGGCCGTCGTTGTGCGTCGTCGTCGTCTTCGTCGGGAAGCCTTGGGACTTGGAACATCACCAACCACTGTCGGAACGCGCGGGCGTGAACGCACGCTGCCTGCACGCTGCGCCGACCAGGGCCCAGAGGCCGAGCGGCACAGAGCTGAGGGTATCCGCAGCCTCACCACGGCCTCCCGCGCGTCCCCTCCTTCCTCCTCATCGTCCTCCTCCTCCTCCGCCTCCACTTGGTCCTCCTCCTCCTCCTCCTCCACCCCCTTCTCTTTCCTCCCCTCCTCGTCCACCTCCTCCTCATCCTCTTCCTCTTCCTCCTGTTCCTCCTCCTTCCCCTCTCCCTGTCCCGTTCCTCATCCTCCTCCTCCTCCTGCCCTCCATCCGTCCCTCCCTCCCTCCCTCCCTCCTTTCCCCCCTCCCTCCCTCCCTCCTCCTCCTCCTCCCCCTCCTCCTCCACCTCAGCTTCCTCTTCCTCCTCTTCATCCTCCTCCACTTCCTCCTCCTCATCCTCCTCTTCCTCCTCCGCCTCCTCCTGCCCCTCCACACCTGCTCTTCGTTGTTTGACGCTGGGCGAGCTCAAGCCGATGTGCTGCAGCGTTCGTTATCATCCTCCTCATGTTATGAGCATGCGTAATAGGTTTATTCATAGTGTTGCGAAAATTGTTAGTAATAAGAATAATAGTAGTGCCAGTAGCGTTGTTAGCACTGTTAGTATTAGTAGTATCAGTACTCTTAGTATTGATAGTATTAGTGATATTTGAACTGTTAGCCGTATAATCGTTTTGGTTGCATTCGTATCAGTACCGATGGTCTGCATGTTAATGCATGTGTTCGTGTGCTTGGTGATATTAGTAGGGGTATGAGCAATAGCCTTAGAGACACTAGTAGCATTAGTACTCTTAGTAGTAGAAAGAGTAGTATTAGTGGTATTCGAATGTATAGTACAACTATCATTCATACGCTGAATAGTAGCATTCCCAGTGCTAGTATTATGTGTATTGGTATTAACCGTGTTAGTATGATTACTCATAGTATGATGAGTACCCTCTGCCGTTTCATGAATATTAGTCGAGGTTAAAGTCATTGTAATAGTCATGTTCTCATTCGTAGTTTTATAAGTCGTGTCGTAAAAGTGATCGCGTTACTCGCAGTGGTAGCGTTCGTAGCCCTACTATTAGTAGTAGTAGTGTGATTCATAGTATTAGTGGTAGTTGTAGTGCTCGTATTACGAGTCTCATTAATATTATCATTCGTCCTCGTAGTATCATTCGTATTCGTAGTAGTCGTCACATTGTGCTGCTGAATAGTAGTAGTTGCTTGCTTGTTATGATTCTAATGTTTCGTATTAGTAGTACGGGTAACAGTGTTGGTTTTAGCAGCATTAGCCAACGACTCGGATTCTCTTAGTATGACTACTACTATTAATAGGAGGAGTACTACGATACGTCGTATTATTCATGACCGTCGAATTATTATTAGTTTCGATTAAACATGAGTAAGATGTATGTTACCAGTTGTATGACTTTGGCTATTAGGTATTAATAGAACCGTTGGTGTGTTTGTTCATTATTAATATTTGAGCAGTATTACTACTGGCAGTATTGGCGTTGGTAGTATTATTAGTAGTAGCATTCGCATTCGTAGTCTTACTCGCGTGATGCTTATCATTACTAGTCTTAGCCATATTATTCGTATCCTACCTACCGGTGTGATATCGCACAGCATTAGTTCGACCGACCGACCGACCGTGCCTGGGATGTGCGCTGGACTGGGATGTGTGCTGGGATGTGTGCTGCCTTCGCGTGCTGAGATGTAGGCAGGGCTGTGTGCTGCCTCCGTGTGCTGGGATACGTGCTGGGATGTGTGCTGGCTTCGTGTGCTGGGATACGTGCTACAATGTGGCCTGGGTGCGTGCCGCCCCCGTATGCTCTGCCAGCCCCCCTGCAATCCTCCACCACGTGGCCCCCGTCTGCTTATCCCGCCCGACCGACCGACCGTGACCCCCCTCCTGCTAGACCGTGCCCTCCCGTCCCCCTGCTCCCCCCCCGCGCCCCTCCGACCTGTGGCCCTCGTCTGCTCATTCCGACCGCCTTCGGTGGAGCTCCCTATGGGGCCACGAAACGCTGCGCTGGGTGGTGGATGACGCATGCGGGCGGTCCCACTGGGGCCTTCGGTGGAGTCCCCTATGGGGCCACGAAACGCTGTACTGGGTGGTGGATGACGCATGCGGGCGGTCCCACTGGGGCCTTCGGTGGAGCTCTTTATGGTGCCACGAAATGCTGTGCTGGGTGGTGGATAACGCATGCGGGCGGTCCCACTGGAGCCTTCGGTGGAGCTCCCTAGAAGGCCACGAAATGAGGGAGGAGCGGGAGGAGGAGGAGGGAGGAGGAGGAAGGAAAGAAAAAAGGAAGAAGGAGAACGCGGGGACCGTCTCTTCAAAACGAGGACCCAACACCACAGGATGGTTGGGAAATAGTAGCAAGACCAAGTCTGTATGACTTCACAAAATTGTCGCAGTGCTCTGCCGCTCTCGTTATCAGGCTTGGGTGCGAGATTAACTATGCGTCGTCGTGCACTGCTCTGCACGATGCCATCCCGCTCCCTGTGGAGACCAAAGTCGGTGTTTAGATCCCCCTCCTATTATCGGCGTCGTTCTGCATCCCAGTCGGTCACACTCGTACTCTAGCCAATGTACTAGTTTGTCTGCAATGGTATGGCAAGTATTGAAGTGCGCGGGGGCGAAAAATACAGAACAACCCGCAACATCTATACGGTTGCTTGTATACGCGAACCTGCTGCTCGACCCTGCAGTTGTGTAGGTGGGAGAATAATACGGCGTAAGCAGTATGGTGGGAGACGCTTTGTAACGAATATGATTGTGCCACACACACTTTACTTGTGAGCTTACCCTTTCTAGCTCCGAACCTCAAACACCAATGCTGTGGTAGTTCGATATGTTGTGTCGCTTCTGCTCCTGCCCACTCGTTTGTTCCACCCAGCAGCACAGTGTCCGCGCCCCTGAGCGTGCTACTAATATCCCCTAGTCGTTCTAATACACTTGCTGCGTAAGGGTTGCGCGCCACAACCTTCATCTTCTCCTACTGTCGGTTGCGGGTCGGTCTCATGGCGCGCGCGTGAGATCTCCCCCCCTCCTCTCTGGCCGTCGTCTATCCTTGGGGGGTCCCTGTGCAAACCGGAGTCAATCACTCTTGCGAGTGGGCACGGTCGATCAATGTCTGGGCCCCTCGTGGCGGCTAGGAGGAAGAGGAGGAGGAGGACAATGAGCGAAGCGATTTAATAACAACTTTGCCACGGCGGTGTAGGTCACCCAACTCGGCGCGCCGCACGGAGAAGCGCGAGCCACGGCCGTCTCCGCGCATCCCCGCGGCGCCCCCCCCCCGTGGAGGAGGGGAGCCCAGGAGAGCCCAGAATCGAAGCGGCAAGTCGGAGCGGCGATCGACATGACTCGGATCGGCAAAAATCGGGAAAAGCCGAATCGGCGGAAATCGGCAGGCTAGTGTAAGCCATCGGAACCCAAATCGGAATCCCAAGTCGAATCGAACCGGAATCGGAAGCCGCCGAAATCGAATCGGAATCGGAGAAATCGAAACGGGCCCTGGCAGCCCTTCGGCCCACCCTCCACGAGGAGCGGCACGCGGTGGCCTCCGCGTGCGCAGGCTTGCGACGCCCCGCGTGCGGCAGGCTTGCGCGTCGTGACGACCCCGCGGCGTCGCTGTCTGACACCGCGTGGATCGCTCGACCTTCCCTGCCGTCCTCCAAGGACTTCTCGAGAGCCTGCCTCCACCCCGCACGCTTCACGCCGACAGCGGAGGCGAGCACAGAGACATAGAAGCTCACACCAGGCCGCTGGACTGGAGCGGGCGGAGAAAGGATTACGGCAGGCTCGTGTCGTGACGACCCCGCGTGCGTCCTTCGACCCTGAACGATCGGCAGCATTCGCTGGGGGCCCCCAAACGGGGTGGTGAACACACCGTGCGATGAGTCGGTGGGGATTCGGGGTCACCGCACGGTTTTGGGACGCGGGTCGTTTTCCCAGGATGTCTCGGGCGACAGGGGCCTCCAAGGTCCCAAGACCGTGCGGTGACGGACCGTGCGGTGAGGTCTTGGGGGATTTCGAGGTCACCGCACGGTCTGTCACCGCACCGCTTCGGGACTCCAAAAAACAATCGTTCCCATTATTGGCATATTCTGGACCAGCGGCGGCGTTCCGCCTTGAGCGCGCGCGCGCGCTGGGCTCGCAGCCGCGTCGGCACGACGCGAACCTGCCATGTCACAAGTCTGGGCTGAACCTTCCTGCTAGGGGGCCCGAAGGGCAAACGTTTTGGAGCACGAGCCCCCGCCGAACCAAGGTGTCCCCCGTTGCCCTGGAGGTCGCCCAAACGAGGCCGAGCGGGCAGGGCGGGAGGATCGCGCCGCATCGCCGATGCATCGGCGATGCGCTGGCGACTCTGGGCGCGTCGCGACGGATACGCTCTCGCCCTGTTGTGGAGGTCGCGGTGTGCACGCCACAGACAAGTGGCGCCGCGACGCAGATGGTTCATGAATCCCTGTCCGCCACCGAAGCGGGCAGGGTGAGAAGAGGGTACGCAGGTCCAGTGCGAGCTGATTTAGTAGCGTGTACACACCGAATGAAACACCGACGTTCCAACAGCATGGCTACGCACACACCACAAACACTTGTCCATGGTGCACCGACGGGCTGCAACCAGCGGGCCACGGACACAGACTGTTCCTCCGTCACGCCAATGACTCGCGGACTCCCAGAGACGAAAGGATTGTAGCTGGACGCGCCTACCACGAGTTAGCTGCCCTGTGATGCGGCACGGTAAGTCTTCAGGCCTGGAGAACAAGCGTAGGCGCCACCGAAACTGGCACACACGCACAGACACACACACACACACACACACTTGATGTGGCAGCGGCGCGAATGCACGCCGCGTTCGAAGGCAGCAGAGGGACTCTACGGAGCCGAATTGGGCACAACACACGCGGGAGGTGAGCGGGAGCGAGGGAAGGGGACGGAGCACGCTCAGAACAAAAAGTTCTTGAGAGCGTGTGCCAGAGCACAGGCGTGCACAGCAGGGAGACGTAGAACTCCAAAGATGTGAGCAGCACTCGAATCCAGGGGCCACGATCTCAGGGTGTTGCCAGGAGTTGCGCGGCAACAAGTGACGCAAGTCAGTACAGCTAAAAGGCGGTACCCGAACCATGTAAGCGACCGGCAAAACTCGCAACCTATATCGTCGTACGACTCAACTGAGCCCAAGGCCATACATCACACAACGTCAGCAAAGGACGAGACTAAGTGAACGGGTAGGTGCAAGAGTGACTGGAGTCGAAGTGCTCGAGCTTGGAGCTGGCGGGTACACATAAAATGAGGGTGCCGAGGGACACGCACACACAAATAAATACACATTATATATATATATATATACACACACACGCGGCGACTCGCCAGCGCGTTGGGCGCCCCTCGCGGGGCGCACAGTTGTCGGAAGAAAAGAACAGAAAGAAAAACAAATGAAGGCGAAGCGGCCGGCCCCTCACGGTGCAATGGCTGGGAGCGGCGCCAGGGCGACGGGGCAGCAGGCAGCAGCGTGCAACGGCCGAGACGGCCTGGATTCGGACTACAGGGGGACAGCAAGACAAGCGAAGGGGCCAAGCCAAGCGAGGGACACACACACACACACACACACACACACACGCGCGCGCACGCCATTTTCCTTCTCCTCCTGCCTCGGGTGGAGGGTGGGGCGCGGGGGCTTCGCCTTGGGATGCCCGCAACGGCGTGGGGCCCCGGGCAGGGCGGGGGTACTGGGCGGGC